TCAGATGAGTTTAGTCACAAACGATATGTCACAAAACAAAGATGAATAGTGGTACTTCATTGTGTCATAAAGCTTACTGCGTAACGGTCGTAGTTTAATAGCAAGAAATGAACAATATTCTCATTTCGTTATGGTGAAATGTCTTTGATCGGCCGCTATTACTGCATTTACCCGTCTTATTGAGTGAAACATTTTAAAGAGTCAGTATTTGATCATGAATACCCTTTTGCTCTCTAAGGCCCCTTATCAGTTCCTATCGGTTGTTATCAGTTCCTGTCACGGAGTATGTACCTACGGCCACGACACATCTTACATTGCCGTCATTGAAAAGGTTCCACTGTTGACACGAAGGGGATTACAACGCCTGCTCGCTTGTTATTATGTCATTATCATGGGTTACGAATTTGCAATCTAAAATTTCCAACGCGCATGCCCCGCCCCCTGTAGGTGGAGTTCGATCTTGCCACCTACCATAAGTGTTCCTAACCTGCTTCCTGCACTCCTTCCAAATTTCAATGCAATACGACCAACAAACAGAAGCTATGAATTTTCGGCTTAAATTTTTATTGCGCACGCATCGCCCCCTGTGGGCAGAGTCAGGTCCTGTCACCTGCCATAAGTGTTCCTGTGTTGCCCCCTGTATTCATGCCAAATTTGACCTTTCTAGGTCCACGGGGCAGAAGTTATGAATTTGCTACCTAAAATTTCTAACGCGCATGCTCCGCCCCCTGTAGGCGGAGTTCGATCTTGCCACCTGCCATATATGTTCCCATGCTACTCCCTGTATTTCTGCCAAATTTGACCTTTCTAGGTCCACGGGAACAGAAGGTATGAATTTTCGACCTAAAATTTCTGTCGCACACGCCCCGCTCCCTGTGCATGGAATCCGGTCCCGCCACCCACCGTAAGTGCTCCTATCCTGCCCCCGTATTCCTAAGTTGAAGTTTGAAGTTTGAACGCTCTAGGTCCACGGAGACAGAAGTTATGAATACGGGGGCAGGATAGGAGCACTTACGGTGGGTGGCGGGACCGGATT